CCTCTTCCTCACCTTACAAGTTTCTGGGGCCTCAACATACCCAGACTTAGAATTCATGTCCTTTTAGGTTCTTTTAGAACAAGAAGGACACATATCTTGGTACCCACTTAAATAATTCTTAGTGTGTATAATCTTATATTCACGTTCACACACACATACTTTATATTCCTATTGTCCTGGAAGCCCATTTTCAAAATATCTAAAGCCTTCGTGTATTGTTGAGCGTGTACTTAATTGAAAAGATGTTTTAGGAAAGCTTTAAACCAGATAATGAAATTGTATAAATACAATGAAATTTAAGCTCTCTTTTAAGAAAATAAAATATTCTTAAGCCTTTACTCTTGGGTGAACCATCCTTCACGTTCAGTTAATTTTGTGATATCTTAATGGGAAAGGTTAACCCACCTTGATTGTGTCATTTCATTGAGGACACGGCTTTTAATATAACTTTTTAAACAAGTTATATTGAAGAACCAAATCTTATTGAAAAAACATAAGTATTGAATAGAGTGTAAAATATCAAAGCTAGAAAATGTAATGATCATTGAAGTCAGTGATTCCCAAACTATTTTTTATTAACACACCTGTCTTTAATGGAATATCCTCCAAAACTCGAAATATAAAATAGAGAGGAAGCCTTGGCTGACAGGAAGCCTTGACTGACAGGATGAAAGCTCCCTTCCCTGTAAGCAGAGACTGCCAGAAACAGATTTGGGAAACCTGCATGCTGCTGAGCCCCTTTCTACCTGTGAGTGAGGAGGGTGGGGTTCAGCTTCATTACGAGGTCATACACTGTGTAGTAGCTGACCTGGGTGTACAAACCAGCTGCCTCTCTCCCTGTGCAAGGATGATTTCCATACTTTCTTCCTCTTTCCCCCATGAAATTGTCTCGAGTGCTCTTTTTTGCAAAGATCTGTATATAAGAAGGAGCTGTTGCTTTGTCGTCGGGTTGATCTGAGTTCAAATCCTAGCTCTGCCTGTTTCACAAGCAGCCAATGTCCATGCCGCTTACGTGGCACCATGAGGCTTCCTTCTCTGTGCAGAGGGAACGACACTGTTAGCATGTAGATAGCACTTTGTGGATGCTTTCACTGTGCTGCCATTTTAGTAAGTGCTATCCATTAATAGCGTTGGCATGATTATTGTTGAAATTATGATAGTCATTTAGCTATTAAATCAGGAATTGTTTTGACAAAAAAAAATTAAAATTGTTTGCATAGAAAACATCTTTGCCACATTGTTATTAAGGCTCCCACTCCCAGAGGGCCTGGCCTCGGAGTGTGTGCCGTGCCTGCACTGCTGTCTGTGTAGCCCTGACTCCGGCGCTCCCTCCCAGTCCCTCACACAGAAGGCGAGGTTGTGGCATTGACACGGTGAAGCTCTTTCTACACCATCCGTACTGACGGTGGCAGAGCTGAGGGTAACTGGAAATCACCTAGTGTCTCATTGTACCATGGTAACAGATAGGCCCACTGAAGTCTGCATGCTTTCCTCAGCACCCAAGTTGTGAGCCAGCAGGTTTGTAGGCCCTTCCACCTCAGACACTGCCTCTCCCTCCTACCACAACACTGAATAACACGCTGCCCTGCATTCCTCCCAGGAGAGCACCTGGGACATTCTCACTTACAACTCCCCATAACACCACTCCCTGCAGAAAAAGGGGAAGCCCTGTCCCATGAACCCCTGAAGACTGGGGCTCTGTCCTCAGAATCACAGCCCGGCTGGGACACAGGCTGAGGCTCAGCCCTGCCCAGGGGAACAGCAGGAGAGGAATTGGGGCAGGGCCTTGCAGGGACCCCGTCCATCTGGGAATGCTGAGTTAAATATACAGGGTGCTGTTTTGTGCAAAGAGACCTAATATGTGACTCTGCAGTGAATTGTTTTTATTAGTCTGCATTTTGAAAATAAAGCAGTGTTGGAATTTTGTAGACCTTTTTTACAGCATCATTATAAATGCATTTAAGTGGCATTTAGAATGGTGAACTAACAGACTCATATTTCATATGTCTTTTGGGAAAGAGAAAACAAATGAACTCTGAGTGTGTGCAATGGTTGGTCCTGATTTAAAGATGGGCCCCCACCCTCCTTTAGTGAGCCAGGTGATTTCATGGAAATAGATCGGAGCCTCACAGGACTCATAGAGGGGCCACATGTGCTCTGAAGGACTCTGAAGTGGGAGAGGGGAACAAATAGTCCCTTTCAAGATTTTAAAAGGAAAGGGAAGTTGGAATGACACTTCAGGGACACTTAGTTCCAAAGGACTGTGACTAACATTGCGTGTCAGTCTCAGTGCCCAAGGGTTGCATGTGTGCATTCATGTCTAGGACCTGTTGGAGCCCTGCCGTTCAGCAGTTAATTTAACAACAGCTCTGTGCTCTGAGTGTTTGGAATACATCAGCGGATAAGCTGCAAGACAGGGAAGTGCCTCAGATCTCAGGGTTCAGAGCTGAAGGCCAGCAGGCTGTTGGTGCTGGTGAGAGACACAGACAGAAGCAGCAATGGCCCTGGATGTGGATCTTCCCAGTTGGACAGTACGAGTTTGGACAGTAAAGCATGGATTTTGAGGCACACTGCTGTTAAGAGTTTATGGCCACAAAATACAGTAAAAACATCTATCCAGCCTGTTAGGGCTTCTTGTGAAAGCCAAGTGGTGCCTTGGTAGAGCAGAAAGGCTCTGGATTAGTCTGCTCACTGCAGGATCCCTCAGCAGGAAGTGCATGCCTGCTGCATCCCTGTCCTCATTCGCTGAGCCAGTGACAACAGGTGCTAACTGAATGCTGTCAGGCATTGTGTTCAGCTTGGGCTGTCCAGGGAGGCAGGGTCACGCTCATATTCTCATGATCTGGAAACCCTAACAGAAATGGGAATTAAACACATTAATGATGTCCCTGATAAGTACTGCAGAGGATAGAGGAGCATTTGCTTTTCAGTACCTGTTCCTGTTTCTCAGATTAACCGGTGCACTGATGCATAGTCAGGGCAAGTTCCTCACTGGCAGGTGGCCGCTGTATGCCAGGGTCCTGGCCCCAGCCCCAGGTTCCCTGGCCGTGGGATTTAGTTGGAGACACTCAGCTCTCCGTGGCCCAGTTTCCTGCAGAGGGGTATACGACAGCTCTGCAAGGGCTGCAGGCTTCAAGGGCTGCAGGCTGCAAGGGCTCTGCAAGGGCTGCAGTATCAGGAGGCAGGTTGGAGCTGCGAAGGCACACGTGTGCACACTGAGACCCAGCGAGTGTCATTTTCGTGATAGTTACCAGGTAGGAGTACTCAGAACATCTCCTCTGCCCATGGCTTTTGCCTGTGCTGTTCACCTTGGAAGCGTTTGTTAATGAGACTGGTCTTAGGCTGCGATGGGGGAGAAGCAGCTAGAGACCCTGCAATAAAGTGCACGCCCGCCCAGGCCCTGCAGCAGGGGATTCCTAGTCTGAACTGATCTGCCTTCAGAGCTCCACAGGTCAGCCCGACTCCTCCCCGAAGGTAAGGTGGATGGTTTCCCAGTGCTCCTTGTCCTGCCTCGAGCGTGTCCTGGTCGCTGCTGGCCAACACGTGATCCATGAGCAAAGCAGTGAATACTGAGGATTCCTGCAGGCCCCAGCTGATACATTTTCTCTGTGGAATTTAATTTTTATTTTGTAAAGCACCACAGTAATTATTTTCCCAAACAAATTCAACTGGATTTGAATGTAAGCTCCCTGAGGACCGGGTCTTTTGTTAGTGCCATCCATGCGTGGTTATAGCGGGTGTTCACGAATCAGGGTTACAGATCTGAGTGAATTCTGAGAGCCTTATGGAGTTTTGGAAGGGATATGAAAGATGGGGATTTTCTAGAGTGGTACATGAAACATACTTATTCTCTTATTTTTCGGAGTAAAATCCTGCTGTAGAAATCAAGGAAAGGTTCAGAGACACAGAGAGCAGATGTTGGCTATGAAATTGACACACACGAGCATTTCTTGCAAACAGAGCTTTGCCTTGCTTTTATTGACTTACTTTGTTACCACCTCTCATTCTGCCCCCATGATATTCTTTCTCAGCCCCAACCTCCTTTCCCGCTAGTTAAATTCTATTCACTTACTTGACGTAACATACAGAATGCTTGTGGCTTTCATTATTTCCTTCTGTTGGATGCTCTATGTGTGGTCTGCGGTTAACTACAGCATTGGATGACCGGGAAGAGTTCCAGCTGGGAGGGTCTGCGGGATGGAAGCTCCCACCCGGGTACTCCGCAGCACGCTTCGGCTTTGGCTGCCGATGGGGCATTTTGAATAAGAACTAGCAGGGTATTTTTCCACTTTTTTTCTGAAATTTTTAGTAATTATGGTGAAGATGTCTTGATACATCAAGTGACAGGTTTGTGTGATTTGTTCTTTTGTGATTTCAGTTGGCAAAGCAGAAATCTTAAGCTATCATGAGGGTCATTCAAAGTCATGTATGTCCCCTGTGGTTCTGAAATGGGCTGTGTTGAGGGTGGCACTGGACAGGAAAGCTCACAGGCCCATGACAGAATACACAAATGGGCAGATTTCTGCAGTTGTTGCCAGAACCAAACATCCTGGCCTGCTGGTAATTCCATGCTCATACCCAAGATGCACTGCATTGCATTCCTTGTGAAATGAAGTCTTTTCATCACGAACCCTAACTTACCAAAGTCAAGAGGATGAAGATCACCAGCAAGTCTTGGAGACCGGGCTTGTAAGTGACTTCTGTCAGCATTTCTTGAATGCTCTGGTTGTAGACTGAGGAAAGGTGCAGAGTCGTCACGGAGGAGAGGCGGCACTCACACACACATTCGCTGCTTTGGATGTAGGGCATTCACATGGTCATGGTCGGCCCTGCCCTGAGCAGTCTGAGGGCGGGCTGAGCAGATGCCCACCACTCACAGATAGTAAAGAACACAAGCCCAGTGCAGGGACGTAGGAGCTGTCTCTTCTTCAGCTTGTTCTGCTTCATTGTGATGTCAGAGGGTGTGTCACGTGTAAGGGCCTTGTCTGTCAGCTAGGTAAAGCCAGGCCCTCCCTGAGGTAGTCAGGGTACAGAACAGGAAGGTGTCACTGGACCCTAGGGAAGAGCGGCCCCTGGTGTGGTGAGGGGCGCAGCCCCATGGGCCTGTGCAGTAGCTCAGACTGCTGGCCACTCACTCCAGGCCTCACTGGGACCTGAGAACCTTCTCCAGCTGCTGTGCCAAAACCAGGTGGAAGGTGTGACTGATGCATTCACCTCGCAGCTTCATTAGGGTTAGGCCCTGTGCTCAGTCTCCTAAGTTGCCTCTCTGCTCCTGTCCCTGTGTCTCCCTCCACTCCTGTCCTCTCCCCTCCCTTCATTCACCTGGCCACACTGCCTACCCCCCATTTCCTGTTCTGTGTCTGCCTCCAAGTCCTCGAATTGGATCCAAAGTCCTGACCTTGCCAGAACTGTGCTAAGTCATCTGTCAGAGAGGCTTGGTGACCATGCGTTCAGAGCTAAGGCCCTTCCCTCCCTGTGCTTGCTGTCAGGCCCTCGCTCATCTGCCTCCCTCTGTCTCACCTATGTAGCTGGCTGTTAGACTGAAATCCATCGACTTCCTCCCTCCTTACAATGGAAGATCCAGGAGGACAGGGACATCTACCTCCACCGCTCTCCTCCTCGTTCCTGGACTAAGTGCAGGTGTGCATCAGGCCCATGGGGAACAGCATTCCTTTATTTAATAGTGATGTGAATGTAGCCTGAGCCCTGCTCTGAAGTTTCATACTACAACTCTTCTACTGGAGGAAACTGTCTGCTTGCCTTGTATCTGTGATTAGCCCCAACGCGACATTGTTCCGGGTGCACCAGAAGCAGTTCATTGGTGTGTTTCTAACTAGGAGCCTCTCCAGGGGCCAGGAACCATGGTCTCTGTCTAACTTCAGGGACTGTGGCTCCCTATCTGCCAGGGTCACAGCGTCTGCAGAGCCCACCCCATCCTGTCTTAGAGAAGTGGGTTTGGGGATTTGTCCTACTTCCTCCAGTTAATGACACAGATCTATCCATCTGAAAGCGTAGAAGTTTGGATTTTGACTTAAGGCAAATCATCTCACCTACTTTTCCCCACAATTCAGGTCAAAATGTTCAGTTGCAAATAGAGGAAGGCAAGAAAGAGTCAAGTCAGGCTGTGTACCATTATTTGTTTTCAGAATGTCTCCTTGTTCTTCTAATCATCTCGTCCTTGTTAGCCCTAATAGCTCATGAGGAAGCAATCAGTGTTTTGGCTTGAACTCAATGTAGGCGACTCTCAAGTGTATTAAAGAAGTGCACAGTGTAAGTAGCAACCAAAGGATGTGTTCATGCTGTTGTTGCTTGGGACCCTTGGAGGTGAAGACTGTTTCACCCATATTGTAAATGGTAGACCTAGCCATTTTTTGAATGATTTATTTCATAGAAAGTAATACTTTTGAGAATTCAAAGTACCAAAAGTAATACTCAGATTGAAACTAGGAAAGACAGTGTCACGGTGTTGGGCTTGCCACTAGCAGATGTCACCTAGGCAATGAGAAATTACATTCAGGAAATTCAGCCCCCCCCCAATAACTTCTCTGGGGACAAGTGAATAGTCTAAGGAATCAACAGGAATTGGCCGAAGAGAATAAGCAGGGGGGTCTGTGTTGAAACTGAGTGTTGAAGGTGAAAACCTGGCGAGTTGGGTGGAGGACTGCTGTGTCCAGGGCCACAGAAGGAGCCTTGGGACACCACTGCACTGTGTGTGGAGAAAGGCTGAGGCAGCACTTGGTTGATGATTAGCCTCACTGAGCCAAAGGGAACAAATACACCAGTGTCCAGTCGCCTATGAAAAGCAGTTTTAATGTTTTGCCTAGAAGTACTTTGTTAAGTTATCCAAATAGCTGTGCATGTGTCATTCGAGTTCATTTCTTAAAGCTTGCTAAGTGAATGGCTTACAGCTTCTACATCACCAGACTGCAGTTTGAAATTTGACTTAACCAATGTAGGAGTCTACCATCTTCAACCACTGCTCCTCCAGCACCGTGCCACTCCTACTTTTCTGTTAACTAAGCCCATGAGATGTGTCTCTAATACAGGAGTATTTTGTTGTTATTTAGAATTTTGGGGAGGGATCTCTGGCCAATTCTCACATCAATGAAGCTAAAGCAGTTTGAGTGGACCTCAGTAGTGTGATTGGGTAAACTCCTTTCCCAGTCATGTGAAACTCCCCTTATAGGGAAAGCGGATGTTACCAGAGACCCCTGCAGTGGTCCTGGTCTCCTCCTGCATGTCAGTACAACGTCAGAGAGATAGGAAAGTGGGAGATAGAAAAAGCACACAGAGACTTGAGAGAAACTGAGTCTTGGGCTGATCTAAGCTGCCCTGGGCTGCAAAGACAAAGGACTCCCAGGAGATCCAGTGCTCATTCGTTACAGGCTTGGGAAGAGGGGAGCTGGGCAGGCCTCGGGACACCTGCTGGTAACAAGTACCAAGCAGGCAGGACTGTAGAATGAGGGCACAGCATATCTTTGCTGAAGAGAACAAACAGTTAATTCAGAGGGGGAGTTTAGTTAGAGTTATTGACCTTGACTGGAAGTGAATTCAGCTGAGCCCTGCTACTTCCAGTGTAACACAGCCGAATTATGGAGGGGCAAGAAGCTTGTGCCACTATAGCCTGGAAATACTGGGCAGAGGCATCTGCTACATCCCCTGATTCATAAAGGATTCTCTATGCTTGCATGTGGCTGATTCTCTGGAAATGAGTACATTTTGTTGGTGTGCACCTCTAAGTTTTGTAACACTTGGGCAACTTAGAGGAATCAGTTTCAGTTCCAGGATTTTTCTTCTTTGGTAAAGCAATCTAGAAAAAGTATTTGTATAAAAATTCAAGTGCTGAGAACAATACTCAGTTGGGTTGATACGGAAAAGTTTTAGATAACTTAATAGATTGAATATTAAGGTGCTTGTAGAAGCAAAATAAGTAATGTGTTCTTTTAAGATTTGCTTTTTTTTTTTTTTGAAAGTAAAACAGACCTTAGTCTGGCCAGACAGCACTCCCAAAGCAAAGTAGCTTAAGAGAGGTGACTAGCCCAGAGTCCGAGGCTCTTTTTATAGTGGGTTGCAGGGGAAGTTAACAGGCAAAATTTACAGAAGAGGAGCAAAGATTAGTGGTCAGCTGACACGTACTGATGGTCAGCAGCTCAAGACTACCAAATACTAGTGTTAAGAAATGTAGACAAACTGGATAGAACTTGTAATGGATAGAAGAATTATCCCGAAGTAAACAGAGGGAGGAATGATAGGAAAAGTTTTAGAGAACTTAACAGATTGAATATTAAGGTAATTGTAGAAGCAAAATAAGTAACGTGTTCTTTTAAGATTTGCTTTTCCCATAACTTCTTGTTTAAGGTGATGGTTATCTGACTGTAACTGGTAACTTCATTAACCTAACAAAGTTACCTTGCCAGGGTGAATTTACAACGTATATGGCCTATCTTGTGTCTGTGACTTGTAAATACGAACTGGAATTGTATTTACACATCAAAGACCACTAGGGATGAGATAATGGCTAAAAAGAATATAAAAAGGGAAACCCTGAACAAAGGGGCCTGGATAGTAACCAGACCTCTTTGTGGTATTCACGCCCACTGGCAAGAAGAAATTTTATTATTTTATCCGAATTGTGTCCCCCTGTATTTCTTTCTGAGATTTCTGCAACAGGGTAAACAGATAAGGAGCTGCATGAAGCACATGAAAGGGCTGGTGTTCAGCTCATATTTCTGTGGCTGTCTAAAGGCATGTATAGAGGACAAACTAATGGAGCAAATACTTTACCTTTGTAGATAGAATAATGTTGAACTCGTTTTATATTTCAAAATGGCATTATTGTAGTCTTGAATGTTTGAGGGGAAGACTCTCCTGGCCTGAAGAGGAATGTGAAATGTCTGTCTTCCTTTAGCCATTCTTGTTTTAAAATCACATGCAGCACCCCCTTAATCTTAAAAGGGGTGCAGGGAAACGTCTTCTACTCTTAAATGCCATCTAATATGAAATAAGCTATGTTTGCTTTGATTGAGTTTGTTGTTTTATGTGATTGCAAATTCTGCAGAACAGGTAGCTGCCCGAAAGGGATCATTTTCCGGGGATTCCTGTACTGGATAGATCACTGGGTAAAACCTTCAACCCCACCCCATTCCAAGTCAGTGCTGACCTCTACATGATAGTAAAAAGAGGAAAAGAATGAAGGAAAGTTCATCTGTCTCTGCCTGCATGTTTGCATTGCTTTTAATTGTTTTGGTAAACTGGAAACTTGAATACTTATTAATCCTAATTTAAGTTATATACATATGCTGCACATGATGAACATTTTTACCAACACTTTCTTCTACTTGTGTTAACATGGGTTCCAATGGACATCTATAAGTAGAGAGAATTATAAATACTGAAATCCTTTCATCTACAGCTCCTGCCTGAGATCATGGGAAAATTTGATTTGTTATTCAAAGCCTTTGGTCCTGAACTTTTATGTAGGCCTGAGAACTAGCCTGAAACCCAAGAAAAACTCTATTCTGGTCCCAGCAGCAGACTTACAAAGAATGTGAAGTCTGATTTACCCCTTTCTGCACCTAAATTTAAGCAGAATCTTTGAAGTCTGGTGCACTGACTGAGAGACAGAGCAGGAAGAAGAGAGGACGGCAGACAGGCAGAGCGTGTGTCTCTGGGCTGGGGCTGGGGCTCTGTGACTCCCCTGAGCCTGTCCCACACCTAAGAGGACGAGAGGGCTCATGAGTGAGAGAAAGAATTCACCTGCCAAGGCCCTGTGAGCTCTGGAGAGAGGCGTGGGTGAGGAAGGGTGTGAGGACATAGCAGCATCCTCAGAGAAGCCCCACAGGCCATGGTGGGGACCATCCTGAGCTCACCTGGGCCCCGTGGTCCCCAGAACAGCTTAGCCTTGACTTGTGGACCAGGGTGTCCTAAAGTTTGCTGGATTCAGACCTCTGGGCTCTCTTGAGATACAGGATTCAGGCCTGAAGGGAGAGGTGGTAGAAATCGGAAACAGAACAGGTTGAAGCAGTGGCTTGGTTGCCTTCTTGCGGCGTAGCAGGCAGGGGCTCAGTCAGGGTTTGGGTGCTGCTGTGAACTCTAGTCTCGGGACCTGTGCTGCACCCACATCTGCCTGCAGGACCCCTTCCTGAGGCTTCCACTCCACCTCCCCCAGCAGGGACGCCCCTCCGTCAGCCGCTGGCGAGCACTTGCTGAAGTCCCAGGCAGCACCCCAGGACCGCCCCCCCCAGCCCCCAGGTCAAAGCTGAGGTCTGGGCAGAACCTGCACCTTACCTAGAACTCTGGGCGGGGTGGTCTGGGGCCCGTGGTCCCTGGGCTCCAGCACTGGTGACCCAGGAGCTACCTCAGGGTGTGACAGTGTTGAGCAGACCTGCTTTCCAATGAAGATGGAGAGCTACAGGAAAACCCTGACAGGGAGTGGATGAGCCATGCTGCCAGTGAGAAATGTTCATTCCAGGACAAGATCCTGTCAGCCAGATGTGCTTTCTGCAGTCCTCTGAGCCCTTGGCTGAGAAATTCATTTTCAGGGTTTGGCCAAAAGGTCACTTGTATTTTCCAGAAAGCATCAAAGAAGCAGAAATCGATTCTATAGCCCATACATTTTACCTTTTGTTTTTTGCTTCTTCTTAAGAAATGTAGACTATCCAAATAGAATTGTGCTGCAGAGCACAGGTGTAGCCAAGTTATATACAGACCTGTGCCTGAGAGGAAGAGAATATAAACCACATGTCCAGGAACGTCCCGGGAAGGGCACTGGATGGTGAAGATTCTGCTGCTGCTTCTGGGAACAAATTAAAGTACTCTTCCGTATGGGCTCCATCTGTTCCTTTTCCTGTATTCTTCAGAAACTTGCAGCCACACTTGAATTTGTTCAGAACTCTTCCACAAGTATTGCAGATCTGACTGGTTTTCACCTTTCTGTGTTAAAAGAGGTTTTTCGGATGTGTAAAATCCTAATTGTCAACTGAACATTTTTTAGTAACATCTGAATTGAAATGATTCTCGGCACAGTCAGTCTTCTAACACTGACTAATCTTTCCCCATTTGTGTGCGGAGTTCACTGCCAGCCCCTTACCATCTGATAATCATTCCCATAGCAACCAGCAATCTGCTTAGTTTCATTAAATACCAAAATTATTGCCTGAAAAATGTCTAATGTATGACACCATGTTATAGCACCTAGTGAAACGATTCATGGATGATGGGATTCATTGTGATGGAAGAAGGTTGTTCAAATAATCAATAAAATACTATTTCTTTTTATGAGGGGGCAGAAGAAACCCTTGAATTCTGAGTTGTTATTTCAAAATGCAACAAGGATTCAGGTTTTCTTTTGATGTCAGCAGATCTAAACTTCCTCAGCTTATTATTTCCATTATTTTAAAAACCTGCCTCCTTATTATTTATTTGGCTACCTTCACTCACATATTCTAAAGGACATCTTCATTTGTCTGATTTAAAAAGAACAGATGGATCCGATACACAAAACCGGTGATATCTTACAGACTGATAGATATCTACAGTGAGCCTCGGTTTTTTTCTAAGGCGGAACAGTTCAAAGATGTTTGGGCTGGTGGAAAGTGTGCCGGTTTTAAGCAGCCCAAAATTTGATGTGGAATCACATCAAATCATGGAGAAACCAATGAGAGGATCAGTAATTACCTCACAGGACACAACTTTCCTTCCAAACAACTGGTCCTGCTCACCTGGTAGGTTTCTCCATGTGTTTAGCGTGATCGACTCTCAGTTATTTATTTGTACATAAATTTAAGGTTAGTGATTTGGACTGGGTTGATGAATATTAAAGTTTGAAGACACTAAGAAGCCTCCTTGGCCATCTCCTTCCTTCTTTAGATGAAAAGAATGTGTAAAAGGGACAAGTTGTTTGCAGAAGTTGAGTCAAATCTTGTGATAAGGATTAGAATTATTTACTATCAAAATTCTTCGAGGACACTCCATGACGAAATTAATATAAGCACCTCAGAATTGAGTTAGCGTTCACCATCACCATCGTCATGTTGTCTGACCTGACCCCACTAGGAAGTTGCATGGCCCACTGCATGCACTCCAAAGTAGAGAGCCGAACACACAGGCTCCCACCAGCCTGGCTTTTCTACTTTTTATTATACATTGCCTTTTCCTTCTTTGCTTTCCAAGATAGCTGTCGCCCTTCTCCTATTTTGATTGTTACAATGATGCAGCCATTAATTTTTTCAATTAGGTTCTTCAGTAAGAATTACACAGAATATTTTACAGACCGCTCCAGTTTTTGCAGCTCTAAGAATAATACAGCCCCCAGCAGTGGCCCCGTTTCTGTGTACGGACAGGTTTTGATGTATGTATTTCAGGTATCTGGAGCAAGCAGAAAGAGGCAGTCCTGCTTGGTACCTATTTTAGGATTGGCCCCACATCCATAAATGTACATTTTTGAAATTTTTCTTTCTGGAATTATGCAGTGGTAGAATAGGATGATATTCTCTGGACTTTTAAAGTAGTGATAATTCAGCACATTGTGAAAGAATAATTTTAAGACTAGGAACATCATGATGGTTTCTGAGTGCATTTTACTTAATAAAAATATAGCTGATCACCAGACCCTGGTTAACCATTCATAAACAAAGCTGTCTCCCTACTGATACCCGTGGCCAGGCCAGTCTGCTCAGCTGAAAAACCTGAGGTCAGAAATGGATTAGGAGTCTCACCTGTTTCCCATGGGTGGAAGTATTGGATCTTCAGTGTCCCAGCTCTCCCCTGCGACCATGGGGCCCGGAGGAACCTGGCTGGCCACTGCGCTGACCCTGGGCGGGGTAGGGGACCAACAGCTGGGCCTGTGAGCAACAGGGGAGAAGAGAGGAGGAGATGAGATGGTGACAACCTTCGGGGGCCCAGGGTCCATGGAGGAATAGGTGTCTAGGATGTGCCTCTTCTCTAGTTCCAGCTTCCTGCTGAGCCCTGGGTTGGGCCACAGCATCCTTTGCACAGTGGCTGAATGTCTGCATTGCCACCTTGAGAATTTAGGCCACTTACTCAGACTCCCGAGACTCAGTTTCTCATGGACGGAGAGAAACAATGGTACCTGCTATAGGGAACTGTGAGACTTCGTGAGCCAAGCTCCAGATTACATTGCCCAGCTATTGCTGCCACCATGGAAGCTGCAGCACTTCTGCCTTAGCGACCCTCATTCATAAAGTGAAGCATCCTGGGAAGTGTGGTGATGGCCTGAATGGATGATATGACTCAGAGCACGTGGCAGATGTTACTGAGATATGGGCTAGCCTTCCACTCACTGAAGTGGACCGGTCACTCACATTCACAGTGCATGGCACATGTGAAGAGTGATGTTCTCCCGATGGTAAACTGTGGGGTATTCCAGGGACATACAGGCCAGGGTATTTGTCTGTCGAGCATTGTGACTGGCTGGTGCATATAGGTATGATGTGTGGAGCACCAATCTGTGCATCAAGGCCACAGTGGAGGTCACCTAGGTCCAGAGTGCCTTAGCCCATCATGTCCCCAGTTTTAAATACTCTCATTGTTTGCCTCAACATTCACATGAGATGTCCTGCAGAGGCCCACAGTCCTACAGCCTGAACTTGGAAGGAGAGCCCCCTTCCCTCGTCTATTTTTATGTGAACTTCAGGAACAATCTTTCAACGAAAAAGAGTCCTTCCTCTTCTAAGTATGGCTTTTCTCCTTGCTCACTGCATGGGCTTTTCTCTCTTTTGAGATTGTCTGAGAGCCATGTCCACACAGCAGATCCTCTGTCCCCTACTGCCTCCCTCTCTTGGGACAAGGCGGTCAGCCACCAGCACCAGCCGGCCACAGGGAGAGGCTGACTGTGGTTGCAAATAGTTCCCAAGGCTCAGTCTCAGTCTCAGGGTTCTGGGGGTCGTCTTTGCTTCTCATCTTCCTGGTGAATATCTGGCTTTAACTGTTTCATAGAACATTTGTTACATTGAAACTTTGCCTGTAAAACCAAGATAAAACAAACAAACCAAAAAGAAAACATTAAAGTCACCTCCCCATGGCCTCTCTGGGTGGTGTGGTGAACCGGACACCGTTATTGAAATGCGCAGAAGCAGGAGGACTGCAGCTCTCAGGCCCGTTGGAAGCAGAGCCATCTGGAAACGGCTTCTGAAGACTGGAGTTTTTGTGCCCATCTGGGAACTGTTCAGGATTCATAAAACATCTGAAGGAAGAGAAGGAGCTACACAATGTTGATCTGAAAAACAGGGAGTCAGGGTGTCCGAAGCCTGCAGCTGTAAAAGAGCAGGAGGAAGGGACCCTGGGCGCAGGCTTCATGTGCCTCTGGGTCTGTCTCCAGGGATCCCTAAGTCAGGCCTCTGTCCAGATCAGCGCTGGCCAAGCTGCTGTCCTTTCCGTCTCCAATGCACACCTCTAGCCAGCGCGGAAGTCCTCCATTGTCTCAGTTGCCTTCATGTCTCATTTCCTCCTTAGCCGTTTCTACCTCCTCCTTCCTGGCACAAGTGCCCGGGGTAGGGAAAGCACAAAAGGCCATAGCCTTCCCAAGGACTGTCCCATGGGACTCTTCACATGTAAACCACCACCTCACTACTTCCCAATAATTCCTTGTTTATTTGTGTGCCTGCAGTTGTGACTCGTGCTGGGGCTCTTCCTACAAACCCTTCCACCACTGGTGAGAGGGACTGAGAACAAGAGCTTGGTCTAGGGGAAGAAACCGACTTCCTTAGGAAGCAGATCCTGGTGCTGGTGCACAGCGCGCCTGCACCAACTGGCCTCAGAGCTGTGTGCCCTAGAAAAATCAGAAATGAGAGCATTTGCAGATCAGCTTGGGAAAAGCTGAAACTGCCTATTTTGCCTGTAGCTTCTTTCTCTTCTAATTCATTTTTTAAAAATCTGCTAGATTAATTTTGCTAAAATACCATTTTGCATTTCCTGTCCTCAGTTGAAAGACCTGTAGCAACTCCCCATGAGATTCAGAAATCGACTCAAAGGCCTCAGTGGAGCTGGGATCAGGCCTCCCACCGCAGTCAGGCCCTGCGTACCTGTCTCTCTGTTCCCCACTATAAATGCCTGGCCAGAGTGGTCTGTTCTTTCCTGCACCACACATTCTTTTCTCCATACTTTTCTCCGAGTTTCCTCTACAGTGGTGGTCAAATTCGGTTCTTCAGTGTCTCTTGCTCCATGCCTGACCCTGTGGGTGGGGTGGGGTGGGGTGTGGTGGGGTGGTAAAGGGGTGGAAATACAGGGTGTGCTCCCCGTGAGTCCAGGAGCCTTCCAAAGACAGGAGCAGGTGCCACTGCTTCCATGGCCAGTGTCTGTTGACAGAGAACAGGAGTTGGATTAGGACTGAGAGGTTATTTCAGCATTGCTTACTCTGACACTTAACTTGTCTGCCTTACTTTTCTCATTGCCAAGACAAAATACCCAACACCCCAATTTTTTTTTTTTTTTTTTTTTTTTGTAAAACGAGCGGTTTCTTTATTATTTTGTTTTTGCAGCACTGGGAATTGATCCCAGAGCTTTCACACTGAGCTACATTCCCAGCCCTTTTTAATTTTTTGAGATAGCTTCTCAATCAGTTTCCTTGGTGGGACTCGAACTTGCAATTCTCTTGACTCGGCCTGGCTCAGTGCTGGGATTACAGGCATGTGTCACTAGCCCCCAACTGCTCCAGTCTTTTTATTGACTCCTGCTGTGACAGAGCATGCTCTTGGACCTACAGACCAGGCCAGCGAGGGCAGTGGTGTCTGTGCAGTGTTGATGGATGTTTCCCTTCTCCAGGGCCTCAATCCTAACTCCTTGTGCATGCTCAATCTATAGAAGGGAGCATACAGGAGTGATTTTATATCACCATTATCTTCATCCTAATCATCATCACACAATTTTTACCCTTCACTTACTCACACCCAGAGAGGTTAAGCTGCTTGCTCACAGGAACACAGCACGTAGGTGATTGAGCTAAAATATGAAACCAAACAGCCTGTGGAGTCAGGTTCTCAGCCTCCAGGCCACATAACTGTAGTAACAGTGCCTGGGGGACAGATCTATCAATGGCCCCTCTGGAACCAGCCCAGAGCCCTGGCGCAGTCTCAGACCTGGGCTGGCTGCTTGCTGCCTGCTCTGCCCCCAGTCACCTCTGCCTGGGTGACCACCTTTCTCTTCTCAGCCTTCTAATGG